ACCCCAACCAGAGCTTGTGAGCCTGGGCTTTTTGGAAGGAGGCTCGGACCACGGGCACCTGAAGTACCTGGACGATGTCACCAACGTCGTGAGGCGGGATGTGAGTGCTGCCACGCTGGGTCAGGCGCCGGGAGGAAGAAGGGTGGGCGAGAGACTCACTGGACGGTGTGGGGACGGACAGGGAAGGGTCAGAGAATCCGGGGAATGGGTGCCCCAGGGCACAGCCATTGGCTGAGATCAGCACAGCAAGTGTGGCCTTGGTGGTGCCACAGAGCCTGGCACTGGGTGGTCACCAAGGGCACACGCTCTTGTGATCCCACGTTGTCTAAGCCCACAGCAGATGATTACTGGGTAGACACCCTATCCAGCACCTTGACCCCCCCAGTCCCAGCGCACACGCGATGACCATGAGTCCATTACAATCTGAACGACCTGTCTGCTCGTCACAGTTCTGTGAACACAGCAGGCAGTGCCCTTTTCCAGTGAGGTCTGTTCTCTGGGAGGGATGTTTGCTCTGTGCTCATGAGCCTCACATGCAGGCCACAGCTGGTCCACAGCCTTCTTGTGGCCCGTGTCTTGTAGGTGGAAGAGTGGGGTCCTTTCAACCTCGTGTACGGCTCGACGCCTCCTCTTGGACACGCCGTTGAGCGGCCTCCCGGTGAGAAGCAGATCCCGCTCAGCCTGTCACCCTGGCACTCCTGTCCTGCCCTGCTCCCTGTTCTCCCACTTGCCCTCTTCCACACCACCTCTGGCCCCCTGGAGAGGGTGAATAATAACCTTATTGAGGAATAGTTGGCCTGTGATAACTGCACGTATCAAAAGTTCCAAACTGGATGAGGCTGGTTAGCACGTTCTCCATGAACCTGCAGTGTGAGCCGGTCATCCCCTTACCCCCGAATTCCTCCTGCCCCAGGCTGCTTGGCCACCCTTGACATGGACCTTTGTTTCCAGGGTGGTACCTATTCCAGTTCCACCGGGTGCTGCAGTACGCACAGAGCCAGGCCCCCCGCGGGCAGCCCTTCTTCTGGATGTTCGTGGACAACCTGGTGCTGACCGCAGATGACCGGAAGGTGGCTGCTCGCTTCCTGGAGGTGGGTGTAGGGGAGTCTTCTTGGGGGCACAGCTAGACAGGGCCCCTCTGATTCCACTCTCCTCCACCATGAGACACCGGGGGCCCAGGACCTGAGACACAACCAGCTGGGTCTCTCAGGACACGGCCCGCCCACCCCACATTGTGCCCTCTGAATATGGCCTTCTCAGTCCTGCCCACGTACGCATGTGTGCATAGCACACATTCATATACACTGTTAGACACATATCACACACTGATGCACACTGTACCCAGGCCACATGTGCATTCACACATATGTGAGCACCATGCACACAGTACAGTCACATACTCATGCTCCTACACAAGCACATACACACACACACCACACACATATACCACCCAGTTCACATTCGTACACTTGCACACTCATGTTCTTACATGAGTGTGTACATACAAGCTCACATGCTTACGTATACACATGTGCACACAGGCATGCACGCATATTGGGGCATCCCAGCCTGGTGTTTGCTCCCTCCGTATGCGTCCCAAGCCCCGTGAATATGAGACAGTCCCGTCTCAGACTGATGTTCCCTCCTCTCACCTACCCCTGCCACATCCACAACGTTAACAGATGTGTAGGAGTTTACAGCAAGCGTCTCTGCCCTCCCCTGGCCCCCATGCACCTGGTTCCCCTGCACCTGCTTTTGTCTTTCCTGGCTACCCTGCCAAGTTTCTTCGTACAGCTCCCAGTGTACACACCATTCTGCCCCTGCTTTCCCCACGCCCCCTCCCATTTAACAATGGCCTTGGAACACCTCCCACTGCAAAAAGCACCTTGCTCCTTCGTTGCTTTGTGTGTGTGTGTGTGTGTGCCTGAGTGTATTAGTCATTTTATTTTATGCAGTTGTCTTGTGCATGGATATTAATAACGTATCCAATCTGTTCCCAGCTGGTGGGAAATTGGGCCTTTGCTTACAGCTCACTCTTACACACTGCCATGAAGACACACGTGTGCGTACTATCTGTAGGATGGATTACAGAAGTCCGGTGTCTAGGTGAAAGGAGACGTGTCATTGTAATTGTCAGAGAGTGCCAAGCTGCCCTTCCCCCTCAAGGGGTTTTCCCCATTCCCACCAGGACAGAACAAGGAAGCAGCTTTCGCTCCGTCCCGGAGCAGGTTGTAAATCCTCTTTATCTGATGAAGTTTATTCCCAACCTGCTTACCTTTCTGTTTCCCCTCCCATGGCTATGGCAAGTGGGAGCTTCTGTTTTGTCACCTGCCAGCAATTTGTCTTTGTGAAACGGTGATTTCCCTCCCTGGATTTTATTCCTATGTCGTATGGGATTTCCTTAGAGTGCCGTCGCGTAGAGGCCACTCATTCAGACTTCCCATGGACTTGGTCGTATCATCTGCAAACAGGGCAGATTTTACTCCCAATGTTATCCCTCCCATAACTTTCCCTTGTCTGATACGGGTGGCCAGGGACATGCCTGCCTTGTTACATGGGAATGTCCCGAGTGGTTTCAACATAGTTCATTGTGTTGAGGAAGTTTCCACTGATTCTTATTATTTCTGCATTTCTGTCAATAGCAGCTGTTGGGTTTTGTCAAGCGTCCTTTTCAATGTCTATGGATATAATCCAATAACTCTCTAAAATATACTGATATCATATACTACTAGATTTCCTCATAATCAATCATCCTTGTATCCCTGAGGAAAGAGCCTGGCTTAGTCAGACATCATTCTCTTTTTTTGAACAGTATTCCATTTAGGGTCTTGTGTGGAGGACGGTGGAAGGGGCGGGTATGCCAGTTCTTTGGTTTCTGCACCCGTGTTGGATTTCTCCGGCGAAGCTCTCTAGCTGGCTTGTTGTTTAGAAGAGGAGCTGTCCCCTTGTAGAAATGAACCCAGCCTCTTCTCTGGGGTCAATTTTGGTAAAGTTATGTTTCCCTACAATACCATCCACTTAATTTAAGTTGCCAAAATCATTTCCATCAAGCCGAACAAAACACCTCACAAGCCTTTCCCTGTGCTCTGCGTCTGGGGTTGTTGCTTTCCTCAGACAATCTGCACCTTTTTTTTTTTAATGAAATGCTCGAGTAATGGCAGGTAACAAACAGCGCCTGGGATCCGGTTTGTAAATTGCTCTGCTTAACAGAAAACCCAAGCTGGCGTGGTGGCCCCACCAGAGGGCACAGTTCCAAGCCCGGGCAGCAGTCACTGGCAAATGGAGTGGACAGCACCCATGCTGAGTTTGGGCTGCTCTGCTCAGCAGTAGGATAGGTCTACATCAACCCAGCCCACATCAGAAGTGGACAAATAGAGAGACTCCCTTTCACCTGCGGATCCTTCACTCATCAATGGTGGGGGGAGAGGGGATAGAAGTGTGCCCAATATAAGTCATGTCTCTTCGGGCTCCGCTGACTTGATGGCCCATACCAAGTTTCCTCCGCCTTGGCCTGCCTCCACAAGGTCAGCTGTGCAAACCCACCAGCCACTCCATGAGAGAGAGATGAGGCCTCCTGCACCCACAGAGGCTCGCCATACCAGCAAGCCTGTACTGGGTCACTATGAGTCTCCATTGACTTGATGGCAGTGGGTGTGGTTTGGGGTGGATTTGGTCTGTCTCCAGGGGAGTCCGTGCCCTCAGCAAGGGGCCTGGATTCAGGAGGAGGCTGGTGGTGGGACTCCAGCTGGCCCACATGGCCCTTCTCTGCTGGCCCAAGTCTGGGGTGGCAGACTGTCTTATTCAGGGTTCAGAACACACACAGGGATGTCGATGTAGCAGTCTCGGTAAAGATAGAGCTATCCTCGGGCAAGGTGAGACTTTCTACTCCTGTTCCAGTCTTGGAAACCCACAGGGGCATCCACTTGAGAACTACTCTCTGCCTCTTCCCCTTTCTTTCTAGTGGCTTTGAGAGTAATTGTGATTCCAGCATTCTGGAAGCTCTGATAGCCTAGTGGGTAATGTGTCAGGCTGTTAACCATGAGGTCAGCAGTTTGAAACCACCAGTCTCTCTTGGGGTGAAAGCAGAGGCTTTTCTACTCCCATAGTTCTTCTGAGAAACCTACAGGGGCAGTTAGTTCTCCCTTGTCCTGGAGGGAGGAAGCTGGAGTTGGGGTTCTCCAGGCAGGCAGCCTCTTGGTTCCTGGTGAGCATTTGCACTTCAGAAAAACAAAGCCTCTCTGCCCACTGAGCCTCTCTTCCCTGGAACGTAGCACCTGGTTTCACTCTTGAAGACCAGGCTTACTTTTCCTTGTGGGAGCGCTGCCTCCACACAGGAAGAACGCGTGGTCCTGCAGGACGCCGCGGGCAGTGGGGATGGAAACCCCAGGCGCATAGGCTTTAAATGAGGAGTTGGACTTTTCTCAGACGGTGACTTCCGTGAGGAAAAGCGGAGATGTAAGAAGTGTCAGGGATGGGATATCATCAGCCGAGCAGGCCTGTTAACCAGATTCCGAGGGTCCGGGGAGGCCTGTGGGGCTGTGGAGAGGGGCCAGGGGAGGCCCAGCTGGGCTCATCTGCACCATGTTTCTCTCAGATGGAACCTGTGACCATCCAGGAGGTCTGCGGCCAAGTCACCCAGAACGCTGTGTATGTGTGGAGCAACATCCCCGCCGTGAAGAGGTAATGGCTGCGCCCACGACCCCCTTTCAGGAGGGCGTAGGGTGCTGTGGAGGCAGCATGGGGTTCCACCACAGAAGCAGAAGTCAGAGGAGACAGGGCTCTTTTGGGACAAGGTGGTCCCTGAGCAGACTCGGGCTATGTGCTCAAGGTCATGAAGAAAGACCCTTTCCACTTGGACCTTCTCCCCACTTTCTCGACACCTCAGGGCTGTCATACTTCCCAGCATCCTGTGCCACAGGCCAGACTGAACACACATCACAGAGCTGTCTGGGACCCTATCTACACACACACACACAGTAACTCAGGACACTCATTCACACACATGCCCGGCTCTCACATGTGCACACACTTAACACATGCATTCGCTCACATTCACACACCCACAAGGTGCACCAGGCTGAACTGAACTTGCCCCTCACACATGCTCTGTTGGGGTGATTAGCAGCCCACAGAACAGCATGTCCCCAAGCTGCCCGAGAGGGAGGGGTGGAGGGAAGAGGACTCCAGGGCGTCTCACTTGGGACCCCCAAGTAAACCTAGAAAAATTCCTTCCCCAGTCAGGTGCCCTGGCACATGAAGAGGTGGTGGGGCTAGGGTGGGGAGGCAGAGGGCAGGCTCTAATCTTCCCTGCTCCCCCCGCTCCACCACAGCCTCCATTAGGTCCAGGAACACACAGCGTGGGGGGGCCTAGATCTAAAAAATCCTATGGTACAGGGCATTCACCGGGCTTCCCACAGCAGTTCAAACCCACTAGCAGCTCCAAGAAAGGAGAAGCTATCTGCTCAGATACAGATTTACAGCATTAGAAGGTCCCCCCTCCCCACCCTCTGCTGGCTACGAAGTCAAAATTCACGCACTGGCAGCGGTCCGAAGCACATTCAGGGCTTCACAGCCCTGATCCGACCCAGGGTTCTGTTCTTTGTGCAATGATGTGTCCCGGTAGGGACCCCATGCCACTCCAGGAGGGCTACCAGGAAAGGCGGGCTCCCTCTGAGCTGAGCTGACCCTGGGGGTGGGGGTGGGGCACGTGGCCGCAGGTAGCCTGGCTGCTCCCTTACCCTGTGAGGCTAAAGACATGTGTATTCCATATCATTTCATAGGTAGGTCTCAAAGCACAGCGGGGTCATAGGAAGTTCTGGATCATTCTCAAGAGAGTGGGCCCCCTCCCACCACTAAGCCCAGCCCAGCCATCCTCCCGCCCCCTCCCCTCTGCTCCACCCCTTCCCCTCCCCCCTCCTGCGCCCCCAGCTCTGTGACAAGCTGCCTTCTTTCTCCGGGTTGCAGCAAGCACGCAGCGCTCACTGCTGAGAAGGAGCTGTCCCTGCTGGTTCAGGACAAGCCCAGGGCCAGGCCCCCTGCCCCGGCACCCGCCGCCCTGGTGAAGAGCTGCTTCCTCCCTCTGCGAGAATATTTTAAGTATTCTTCCACTGCGCTCCCTTCCCCTCCATAAATACTCTGAGAAAACACAAGAGCAGCGACGACCGACGACCGCGTTCTTTAGAGGGTCCCCCACCCCCACCCCCTCGGCTGGAGTTTTGCTTTGTCAAGGTAGCTCCAGCGCTGCCTTTCCTCTGGTGCTGGACAAACAGGGTCCCCCCTCCCCGTCTCTCTGTTTAATAAATATACTAAGGATACAGCTCTTGTTTGTGCTGGTCACGTTTGGGTGTTTGGGTGCACACCCAGCATGTGGCGTAGTCTATGGGACACTGGGGGATGGGGTGTCATGGAGGGCGTGTTCATAGCGCTCGTTGCGCACCCTCCATCCGGTCAGGAGTCCGACGTGCTCACTCCCCGACCCGGCCGCGGTGGGCTGTGCTCTGAAACAGGCACCCCTTGATCGTATCCAGAGGAGGCCTCCCAAGCGGCACCCACTGGAAGGGCGGCTGCATCAATGACCCAGAGGTGCCTCCTGAGCGGCGTCAACAGTCAACACGCTCTGGGAAGGTTGGAGGTTGGAGTGTATCTGGCGGCGCCCGGGAAGAAAGGCCTGGTGATCGCAAAGATTCACGACAGACAGCCCCCCTGGCGCCTAGGGAGACTGCACTGTGGACAATGCGGACGCTGACGTACTTTCACTGCACTGCCACGGGGCAAGACGGTGGTGTTTTTGAACAGGTGGTGTGGCTTGGAAATAGATAACTTCAAAGAAGAGGAAAGGTACACACACCCCAGCCCCCCACGGAGCGCTGTTCTACTCTGAGGACGCACATGCGGTGGTCACCCAAAGGCAGCTGTGTGCGTGTGCGCAGTGCGCGCTTTCAATCCGGCCCAGGGGCCAAGGCCAGATCCCCTAGGTGCGCATGTCACCTCTTGGTCCTGGAAAGCAGGCCCCTTCCTGCCTCAGCAGTTTGAGGGAGACTCGGTGGGGGGAGAGCTGAGGGCAAGGCAGACACCGGAGAGCACTACCTCAAGTTGGTCTTCAGCCACCCGGAAGGAGACCTCAAGGAATCTTTCCAGAACACCGCGCAATGAGACTTGGAGCCTTACGCTGACTCAGACTGTCTTGAGCTCTGGGGCTGCCTTTGTGGCAGGTCACGGAGTCCCCGGCTGCTCTAGATGGTGAATTTCCTTGGCTGCTCACCAGGAAGCTTGGAGGTTCAGGTCACCCAGCGTCACCTCGGGAGCAAGGTCTGGCAGTCCACTTGACAAAATCAGCCCGAGAACCTGTGGTCCACAGTTGACTCCAACAGCCTCGGGGCTGCCTTGGGCTGTGGTCAACTCAAAGGCAAGCTTGGGGAGGTTTATGGGAGGGTCACTGGCGTGGTGGTTACACGTTGGGCTGCCATCCACATGGTCAGCAGTTTGAAACCACCATCTCTCTCCCTGGGAGAAAGATGGGCTTTCTATCCCCGTAAAGGGTTAAAGCCTCAGAAACCCACAGGGGCAGTTCTACCTTGCCCTATAGGGGTGCTGGGATTCATTGATGGGCTGGCAGTGGGTTCGGAGTTTTATTTATAGGTGGTTGGGCATGGTCTGTAAAGTGTTTCAGGGATGAAAGGCAGAATGAAGTTTGATCGCTTGAATACTTTCCCCCCTCTTTTTAACGTCCCGAAGAAGCAGAGCAGTCTTTGCTTGACCTAACATGACCCAATGGGGCCTCTCCCTGTGGCGGTTCGACTCTATTACGGGTCTGTGTCCAGGCGCTCACTTAATTTGGCGAGGACGGGAGTGAAGCCAAGGACAGGGAAAGGACAGAAAACAGAAGAAAACAGATAAGAGCATCCAAACAGGAAGGAAACGTCCCAGGCTTTGCCCAAAGCCTCGGATGCACAGCTGGCCGGTAGGATGTTGGTGAGGAATATCGACTGTTCTCACAGCAGAGGGCGTCCTAGAAGTGAGGGTGGTGAGACTTCCGTCACTTACTTTGGATGTGTCCTCAGGAAAGACCAGTGCCTAGAAAAGGGCATCGCGATTGGGACGGTGTCCGTGGCGATGAAGGAAACGAAGCCTCAGTGAGATGCATGGACAGTGTGGTGAGGCAGGCTGATATGCATGTGAAAGTTGAATAATGAATAAAAAGGAAGACCGAAGAAGTTAAAGCATTGGAATGAGGGTGCCGTCGAATAGTGAAAGTACCATGGGCTGCTAAAAGAGCAAACAGCTGTCTCGGGAGAAGTACAGCCAGAAGGCTCCCTAGAGGCAAGGATGAAACTGGACGTGTCAGGAGAGACCAGTCCCTGGAGAAGGACATCATGTTTGGTGAAGTGGAGGGACAGCGACAAGAGGAAGCCCCACAGCCAGATGGACAGCCACGGGGTCTAGCACAGGAACTATTGTGGGGAGGCGCAGGTCCAGGGCGATGCTTTGCTCTGTTGTGCACACGGTCGCTGTGAGTCAGGACTGGAAGGCATGTGTCACCATAGAAAACTCCCAGCAAACCTGAGGCGGGGTGAGTGGGAGAAGGCTGGGTCACTGCTCTACCTCAACCCGGCCCCAGGTCCTGCACGGGAAGGTAATTACACCCCTTGGAGGTCCACCTCCTTGCCATCTTTGCCTCCTGCCTTGCTTGGGGGTGGGGTGGTGCAGGGGCGCTGCTCTGGGCGTGGTTGGAGTTACCTGTCAGCCTTTCACTCACTTGGGCCGCTCAGCACCGCCGTTCCTGGGCGGGGTACCCCGAACACGGGGTCAGAAAGCAAGGGCACCACTGTGCTGGGGCTGGAGGAACTCATGGGGTTCCGGCCACCCAGTGCCACACGCCAGCCAGGGAGCACAGGAAAGTGGGAAACCCCGGGACTGGATTGGAGGGGGACTGCCTACTTGCTTTCCCTCTCATTCATTCCTTCGATCGTTCGATCGTTCGTTCGTTCGTTCATTGGCATGCAGCAGTAGAGGCTCACTGCTCTCGGAGGCGCTTCCGGAGGATTAGGGGAGGAGACTTGCGGAGGCGTGACCCACGCCTGGTCCTCGCCTGGAGCCTTGGACCCCGACTGGACCCTCGGTTGGGGGAGGGGCTGCGCAGGGGCGCATTGGGCAGGCAGACTGGGCTACATGAAGTTTGGGAGAGCAACGATGTGCCTCCCTCAGCCCCAGGCCGCGCCTGTCCCTACTCCTAGGGTCACCTCCAGAGCCCAGTCCACGCCCTGAAGAACAGGGAACCTCCGGCCCTACTCAGGACCGGGGCCGAAGTCTGTCTTCTGGATCAAGATCAAAGGATCGAACTTCCGCACGGCAGTGCGCAGCAGCCGCAGCGCTGACTGGTGGCCCGTGGGGACCCGGAGAGGGCGGGCACGAGGGGCGGGGCCTGAGGGACGGGGACGGGGCCCCTCCTCCCCTGCCAGCAGTCAGTCTTGGGCTGATCCTGAAGGCGCTCGGCAGCTCGGCCCCAAGTCTCCAGAGACCGGGGTCTGCCTCCAAGTCCCGAGATGTCCCGCGGCCCCCGGCCTCCTCGCCCGCGGGGCCGCCCCACCCTGCGGCTGAGAAGGTGAGCCTGCGTTCGGACGCGCGGCGGAGGACTGGGGGTGCGGTCGCCGGGAGCGGCGTGTCCGGCCCGTGGCGGGCTGAATCGGGCTTCCTTCTAGCTGTCGGGCCTTGGCCCCGGGTCCCCGCGTTTTCCCCAGCGCCCAGGACTCCGCAGCCGGT